TCATGCTCAGTAAGCACTAAGAACTAATCAGCCAGCGTCTTTAACTTAGGAAGTACAAGGTGGCAACATTATTTTATTTCCTTGGCTGGATTAGCATGTATTTGCATAAATTGTTATCCACTATCATCATTGAGGCACACCTATAATCTGAGAAAACCAATTACTAAAGAATTCTATGTACACCTAACCCACTTAGTGTTGCTAACAAAAAAAAAAAAAGAGAGAGAGAGAGAGAGAGGGAGAGAAAGAAAAGGAAAGAAAGCAACTGTTTCTTGAATGAGAGTTTTTCTTATTTCACATATTGCTTTGCCTTGGTGAGAGGTATGATCGAAAATACGAAGAAGGCAATTTATCACTAAAATATCGGTTTTGAAAACCATTTCTAATCATTTTACAGCAGGCTGACAGAAAACTAGCTCAATTAAATAGTACCTAATTTAAAAAAAAACAGTATATTTTTTATTCTTCTTAGTAAAAACAAACAAAAACATGGTGTCACTGATAGTGAGTCTTGGAGTGAATTGTCATCAACCCCTCCCCCCATTCCACTTCCTTTGCAGAATCACACACTTAGTACTGCCGAACAAATTCTTGAAAGTGAAAGAATAATTTAATGAAATTCTTCAGCCCTCCCTGTTCATTCATTCTGATGGGCAATAACCCCACCTCTAGGCATCTCATTGCTAGTCTACATTCCCTCAGCTACAAAACTAACCTCCTACTCTTTCTCTCTTTGAAGAGGGAAAGATGAAAATTCTGTCCCCATGATAGACACATTTCAAGTGATTCCTCAGCCTTTCTGAAATAGTAAAAGGAGTTATTGTATCCTTGATAAACTCATTTGCAAAAGGGAAAATTAATTCACTTGTTTGCTAATCATCCAAATTCATGTTATTTCAACCTTCATCTCCCACCTCAAAAAGCCCAAGAAGATCAGGGACCTAGTTTTTCTTGTTTCCCCCATTGATTCCAGCCCTGAGCCAAGTGCCTAGTGCATGGTCGGAGATCAATAAATATTTGCCAACGAGAGCAAAAATCTACCACGTATCACCTTTGGCTATAGCTTCACTCTGCGAATACATCACCCTACCGGTAGAAAACTCTCCCAGAATAATAATAATTATGAAAGTAACATGGACAATGATAATAAGAAAATTTTTACTATTCTAAGTGATTTAATGCATAAGCAATTTAATCCTCTGATTGGATTTTAGGACATGCTACCCCAAAGTGTGGTATCTTGGCATATTGAACACTTTAAGCTGAAGGAGTCTGAGAAAACAGCAGAAGCAAGAAGGTCATTCTGATTTCCCCACATCTTCTCCCTGAAACAGGTCATAAAACCCTCCCGCGGGAGGTGCCCTCCCTGTACCTGGAGGAAAGAGGCATCTTTAGCTCTTAAGACAAAGGAACATCAGAGAAGAATCCTAACAAACAAGACTTGCTAAGTTTCCCCTCATACTTCTTGAGGATCCATCATATATTCTACACAATTGCCCACTCTTAATCAAATTTAACATGAAAATACTCAGTTCTATTTCTCCGGATCCTCATTTCCTTATGAAGATTCTGTGGCATGTAGAACTTGTGTGCTTTTCTTCTATGATCTTTGTCAGTTTAATTTTCAGACCCAACCTGGGATCCTAAGAGAGTCAAAGAAAACTTTTCCCTCCTCTACACCTCAGGATAATCATGCAAAATTTTTATGACATAGATACCATCATTATTCCCATTTTATGAATGAGGAAACTGAGTCATGGACGAAGTGCATTGTTTTTCCTAGAAAATGGATCAGATAAAGTTGGAAGTCAGGGGGCGCCTGGGTGGCTCAATGGGTTAAAGCCTCTGCCTTCGGCTCAGGTCATGATCTCAGGGTCCTGGGATCGAGCCACACATTGGGCTCTGCTCCGCGGGGAGTCTGCTTCATCCTCTCTCCCTCTGCCTGTCTCTCTGCTTACTTGTGATCTCTGCCTGTAAAATAAATAAATAAAATCTTCAAAAAAAAAAAAAAAGGTTGGAAGTCAGAAAATGAACCCAGGTAGACAGGTACCAGAGCCAAAACTCTTAACATCTAGCCGTAATGCATCTGTTTATTCTCTGAGGGGAGTGACAATGAATTTCTTCCAGACACCAGCCACAGTATCTGTGTTTCAAAGAAAATGAGTGAATAATTCGGACGGCTTTTCTTAAAGTTTAGGAAGTGCACCAGTTTAAAACTTCTTAAGTTCCTCACAATCGGAGGAGTAACAAAACCATGAGGCTCAGCTGTTCTTTCCAACATTGATAACCCACTGCAAGTGGTTTGTTACTTTTCTTATCTGTACAATCAGTTTTCGACCGCTGTGTTTTTTATTAGAAGCCACTGGGTTCAGGATGGAAGGACAAAGTGGCAATGTAACACTACATGATTAAGAAATAGAACACAAGTGTGTCTAGATCCTGAGAAGGGGAGAAAGCTGGATAGGTGGTCCTCCCTCACATTAAAGATCTTTCCTCACATGTAACTCACAAAAGAGAAGAGGTTTGTTTTTTCAGGCCACTAAATGACTATTTACAGAAAGTTACAAAAGCAGCATGAGGACATCATTTCCTCTGTTGCTGTCACCTGGGGTTGTGTGAATGGAGAGAATGAAGAGGAGTGAAAGGACCAGAAGGGCAGAGATGGAGACAGGCAGGAAAGAATGATTGTGGTAGCATTTCTTTATTATTACTAAAACATGCTATTTTTCTGGGGCACCTGGGTGGCTCAGTCGGTTGAGCATCTGACTCTTGATTTCGGCTCAGGTCATGATCTCAGCGTGTGAGGTCAAGCCCCGCAGCTGGGCTCCAAGGTCCCAGGGAGTCTGCCTTTCCCCCTCTTTCTTCCTCTCTCCCTCTGTCCCTCCCCCTCCTCTGCTCACAGGTGCCCACTTGCTCTCTCTAAATCAAAGAAATACATCTTTAAAAAAACAAAACAAAACACTCTTGTTCCTACAGCCTGCCTTTTATTTGTGTTTACTCTTTCTTTTGAAAATATTATTCATTTACAGGCTCATTTCCTCATTCTCCTTTTCTTTCTAAACGTTGAAGACAGCAACGAAACATGTAGAGTTCTTCAGAGACGTCTTGCTGAAGTCGATTGGAAGTCTTATCGGTAGATAAACAACTCCCAGAGATGAAAGGAAACAAGAGCTTTATTTAAGTCCTCTAAGTAAAAGTTTAGAGATGAAGAGAAATAACTTCAAATGTATGAGTAAACAATTCAAAACAAGTAGGCATGTATTATGTGCTAATTAATACAAAGTGTTTAAGCATAAGCAAGCAGATTGAGAAACATCTCCTAATGCAGGGACCCCCCTCTTCGTTTGTCCTCAGCATTTTATTGACAAAGACAGTGCATCACAAATTTTTCAGCCAGAATATTCCTGAAGGTGAGGGCAACAGGCGCCCCCGCCCAGCATTCTAGGATGTGTTCCAACACCACTTGCTGCAAACAATCTATTTTTTTGGAAGGATCAGTGTTTTTATGCGATTAGTTTATACAAATTCAGCATCCTATTCCACAATATAAATCTTGTTTTAGTGCAAATTAGCTTCAAAATATCTGAGTAAGACTGAAGAAAAACATAAACATTGTTGTATCTGCCCATGGTCTCTCCTACAGTGCACAGGATGTTTGAGAATCCAGTTTTGGAAACACAGTCCAGATGGTGGGCTGTTGGAATATTTGGTAACATCTCTACTCAAAACTCAAGCATCTAAGGTTAAATAAGATGAAACCATGGAGTATCTGGGTGGCTCAGTGGGTTAAGCGTCTGCCTTCGGCTCAGGTCATGATCTCAGGGTCCTGGGATCGATCCCCGCATAGGGCTCCCTGGTCAGCAGGGAGCCTGCTTCTCCCTCTCCCTCTGTGCTCTCTATCTCTCTCTCAAAAGAAAAGGAAAAACAAACAAACAAAAAAAAGATAAAGAACCACACAAATAAAAGAAACCTGGTCACCACTGGCAAACGGATTGGTTTGTGCTAATTACTACCGCTCTAACTTCTAAAAAAGCGATGCTAGGAGGCAATGAGCTTACCTAAAAGTGATTAGCAAGAACAAAAAACAAAACGAAATTGGCCTCATAAACCCTGAGGTCCAGAGGTTAATCAACTACATTTCACTTTCTGCAAACCACTAACTAACAAGCCTGATTGACACCCTTATCTTTCCAAGTGTCTCAAACTTTAACCATTTTCAAAACATCTTTCTATTTGCTCTATCGGGAGCCAGCCATCGCTAGCGAAGTGCTCCTTATCTTCCAGCTAAAATACTCTGAAATGTCAGTCTATTATTACACAACAAGACCAAATCACCAACTGAAGTTCTTCCCTTCACACTCCTCCTTGTACACGTCTTACTAAACTTCATGGTCGTGTACATGGGAGCCACAGAGTGTGCAATATTTTTTCCCAAGGACGGTACTAAACAGGAAATCCTACTAAAAAAAAAGAAAGAGTTTCTGGATGTTCAGAGAAACGGAAAGTGAATACATTTATACTAACAGCAGCAGGACTTCCCTCTATGTCACACAATGCCTTCATTCTTTTATATTCATGCTTAAAAGGAGACTCACACTTCAGGTCAGAAACATGACCTAAACACAAGCACTAAAAATGAGTCTGCACCCTGTACTGTTGCCCCTGACATTTGACATTGCAGTTTCCTGCTTGTATGTCCGGATCCTCTGCTGAACGGTGAGATTCTGGAGACCAGGAGTCCTCACTGGAGAGTCCTCATTGTCTCTCCAGCCTCTGGCTCAATGAGCATATGTTGAAATGCCCATTTTTTGACTAGTAAGTGGATAGGTCTTCGATTTGGGTTTCTGCTTTAACTCAAAGATCTCCTTGTTTTGACGAGGCTTGTATGCTCTCTTCACCAAAAGTAAATTATAAAGAGCTTAAAGTGGGGGTAGGAGTTTGCAAAATTAGTGACCATAATCTCTGCTAAGTGATAACAGTGGTGGTGCGGGGGTGGGGGTGGGGGTGGGGGGAAGCCACCGAGATTAAGAGGCCAACCACAAAGCCTATGATTTTGCCAACTGAACCGTAATATAAACCTACCACTGATAAGGGAGAGAATGAGATTGGTTGTAAGAAAAACTGGGTCCCGTTTCAAATGAGATGATATATGAAAAATTTTATAAAAATATATCAGGCACCAAGTAAAAACACCGTACACATTAGTTATCACTGCTGTCAGTACCTTCTGGATACATTCTCGTCTTTGAGAATTCCTTAACTTTACTCCTTGTTTATTTCCCCTCACCGTGATATCCCAGAATTAATGACACAGAGTTTGTCAAGTGTTTTGAAATCCCTGACGTGTTATAATCAACCCAAGTACCGTTTTATTTATGCAAACTGTGTCTACCCGGTAAGTCCACTTAAATAGCTAGGATTGGGAACTTCTGTCTCATACGGCTTAATAAATGATTCCCTCTGGCTCTAAAAGCAAGTACTTTTTCAATGACAATGGGAGGGAAAGCAAAGGAATTGCTTGGTGACATCTGTTGTGCAGCGTTCTTCGAATGGCGCATCTCGATAAATGCATGAGAGTCCTTGGAGAGTTACTGCACACAGTGAAGAGCGAGTGGTAAAAATCCCAGTATCTCTGTAAAGGAAGGCAAGATGGGTTAGAGGCAGAAAAGCCCCAGGGTTCATCTAAAGAAATCAACAATGACGCGTTTAGTCCCTACTTTACACACAGTGGCAGCTTTTTAGGGTCTCTGACAGTGAGACGAAATTAAACATGAAATTGAGACGGGGGCTGAGATGGTGATATGGTTCTGCAATTCAGAACCTGGGAAATGAGATAAAAGATACTCATGTGAACTGTCTGGGCCAGCGTATATCAAAACTGCAATTTGAAATTAATCACAATACTACTGTACACCTTGGTGGCTCAGTGGTTAAGCGTCTGCCTTCGGCTTGGGTCGTGATCCCAGGGTCTTGGGATTGAGCCCCGCATCCGGCTCCCTGCTCTGCAAGAAGCATGCTTCTCCCTCTCCTGCTCCCCCTGCTTGTGTTCCCCTCTCCCCGTGTCTCTCTCTGCCAAGTAAATAAATAAAATCTTTAAAAAAAATACTACTGTACACCCTTTATATGCCTTATGTGGCCCACACATTCAGATATTTATTCTATTAATGACGCTGACGCAGATTGTAAGTAACTTTTTAAGGGTAAGATAGTTCCAAAGTAGCAGAGTACGATTGCGCCTAAGGCATCAGGCTCTGAGCCCGATGAACTTTGCATTCTGTGCCTGGTGCCTCTTCACGCATGCTGGAGACAGCCTGTGACTGCTAACACCGAGGACGCGGTGGGAGGCCTGGTTGACTAAGGCAGCAAAGTCGGTTTGCAGGGTCCGAACTCAGCTTTGTCAATAGTTTTCTGCATGACTCATTAAGGATTTTTAATGTATTTAAAGTCTTCAAGATAACCAAAAGTGAATGGAATGGGGGCACTTGGGTGGCCCAGTAGGTTAAGCATCTCACTCTTGTTTGGCTCAGGTCATGATCTCAGGGTCGTGAGATCGAGCCCCTCGTGGGACTCTATGCTCCGTGTGGCATCTGCTTGAGATTCCCTCTCCTTCTGTCCCTCCCGCTCATTCTCCTCTCTCTCTCTCTAAAATAAATAAATACATCTTGGGACGCCTGGGTGGCTCAGTGGGTTAAGCTGCTGCCTTCCGCTCAGGTCATGATCTCGGGATCCTGGGATCGAGTTCCGCGTCGGGCTCTCTGCTCGGTGGGGAGCCTGCTTCCCTCTCTCTCTCTCTCTGCCTGTCTCTGTCTACTGTGATCTCTCTCTGTCAAATAAATAAAATCTTTAAAAAATAAATAAATAAATAAATAAATACATCTTTTCAAAAAAGCAAATAAAATAATCTACCTGAAAGACTTATCTTCTGGTAACAATATAAACCTCAAATATTACTATTATTATTCTTATTATGAAATTATCTAAATTACTGAGGAGAAAGTAAAACTGTCACCTTTATACAAATGTTCAACTTGCACTTAAATGGAGAAATCCTCAAGATATTCCCAAATGCTGCGTACATGATGCATCTATTTATTCTCACATCTGTGTTCTTTCTAAAGATTTTATTTATTTATTTGAGAGAAAGAGAGAGCAAGAGAGAGAACACACAGAGGGAGATGGAGAAGCAGACTTCCTGCCAAGCAGGAAGGCCGGATGTCAGACTCGATCCCAGGACCCTGGGATCATGACCTGAATGGAAGGCAGATGCTTAACCAACTGGGCCACCCAGGCGCCCATCTCGCACCCATGTTTTATAACCATTTGTCTTGTTGCATTTGTGTAGGTCTTTTTTTTTTTTTTAAGATTTTATTTATTTATTTGACAGAGAGAGATCACAAGTAGGCAGAGAGGCAGGCAGAGAGAGGAAGGGACGCAAGCTCCCCGCTGAGCAGAGAGCCCGATGTGGGGCTTGATCCCAGGATCTGAGATCATGACCTGAGCCAAAGGCAGAGGCTTTAACCCACTGAACCACCCAGGTACCCCAGCATTTGAGTAGGTCTTAAAAACATTCTCAAGAGCAGTTTTTTAATTAGAATTTTCTGTCCTACTACTGCAGTCTTAAACTATTTTACGGTGAAAACCACAGAAATCACGTGGATTCTTTACCTCCAGGTCGTCATCGGGGATAGCTCTTTTCCACTTCACGTTCCACCTGATGTGTTCGTAGGCGTTGACGACAACTTCAATTGCTTTGGGACAAGAATGGCAAGCCTGTATCACCTGCAGAGGAAGCATACAGCGTTATTTGTTCAAGGCACATGTATGATTCATTCATTCTCACAGAGACATCGAGAACTTACGGATCCCTTAGGCTCCTTGGAACCCTGAAATGCTTTCAGGAAGCCTCATGCCTTTGAGTCTTCAAACACACTGCTAGTCCCAGCGTAGGTGGGCGGATTAATAAAATCACACTAACTCCCTTCAACGTTCAGGAACAAGTGAAAAAAGAGGAGCTAACCAAGAAGAGGGAGTCTGATGAAAGACACATTCTACCCTGCAACCCTCGGTCCTCCCCACCAGCTTCTGTGTCCACCGGAACACCTCTGGCTTCTTTCTGCCAAACTGACCCATCTCCGGAAGTCCTCTGAGTGTGGCCCGTTTTCATGTCAAAGGGACCCAGATGGTTCTGCAACGTTCCCCAAAACTGGTCCACAGGGAACCTGCCGTAAAAGTACTCTTGACTCCGAATTTACCCGCCTTTCTTTCCTTTGTCATAGATAACCCAAACCAGCGAAAGACTTTTGCCTTTAAGTTTCCTTATCATCGGTTCCATTTTCCCCTTGGAACTCCAGAAAACATCTATCAAACTCTCTGTGGAGTCCTCTTCAAGACCTGTCACTGGACGTGAGAGGAGGAGAAAGGCCCCCAACGCTGCCATTGGAAGGGAGACATGCCTTTGCACCGAAACGACTTTCTTCAAAGAGTTCTTCCTGACTCCCAGTCCTTGCCATGCTCAGCCCTATTGTCCTTGGGCAAAGGTTCACAACACTGGGTTTCCCCAACTCCTTTATGCGTTCATCACAAGTGATCCAGCATTGTTTTTCCAATGCGGGCTGTTCAGAACCTACTGTCTTGAGGCCCCAGGCAAAACTGAGATGGAAATATTATCATTCTAATGCCCAGTTCAATGTGTGTATGTGTGTGTGTGTCTGCGCATGTGCGTGTGGTGTCACCTGAAAGGAGGGCCCATATCAGGAAAGAGCTGATGTTAGGAGCATGTGGGGATGGAACCAGCAGATGGTCCCCCTGCGACGCCAGTCTGAAGAGCTCGGGACTGGCTTAGCAGGCAATAGGACACTGTTACGTGTTCTTAACAAGAGAGGCTTATAGTCAACCAATTCATTCCATTAGGAGGCCTTTATCAAGCACAGTGTTTAGCCCTGTGACTGTAATTCTGAGAAGTTTATGACCTGTTTCTTGCCTTCAAGGAGTTTACAACCTAGTTGAAGAGAAAAGACATACATATTTCAAAGAGCGAGCAGTGTAAGTCAGTAAATAATAAGAGACTGGCTTAAAGATCATCAAGTGTCCCTTGAGCATCATGAACAAAAGCACAGAGGAGAAAACAAGGATGTCAAGGGCAGCGAGCAGTGTGGAGACTGAGTGAGAGAGCACCAAACCGCTTCTCAGTTAGCTTCACGGCCAGTCACGAGAATGCAGGACAACCGGAGCTCTGAGAAAGCGTGAGGACGGCTTAATGACTAATCAGCTATGGGGAGTAAAGAATGCGGCTTTCGAGCCTGAGAACAAGGACACATAGGGGTGCCACTGACGGGAATGAGGAAACGGGAAGGCCATGCTAATTTGGGGAAGGTCAGATCATGGGCAGGAGCATATGTTACAGGCAAAGTCTTAATGTTGGTCAAAAATGTGCACTATAATGCTCCACTGAGCAGGCCAAGATGGAGGTGGAGACTTGGGCACCATTAAAGGATGTGTTGGCTAATAACGCCACACCGCTCAGTAATACTCTAAATGGGAATAAATGGAAATGGTAGAGGACGCTGGTCTAAAGCCTGGGGAGGGGTGCATGGGTGGCTCAGTGGGTTAAGCCTCTGCCTCTGCCTTGGGCTCAGGTCATGATCGCATTGGGCTCTCTGCTCAGCAGTGAGCCTGCTTCCCCTCCTCTCTGCCTGCCTCTCTGCCTACTTGTGATCTCTGTCTGTCAAATAAATAAATAAAATCTTAAAAAAAAAAAAAAAGCCTGGGGAAACCTAACAGGCAGGAGAGAAAGGGAAGGAAAAAAGTTACAGCTACCATTTTTTGCATACTTGTTATGTGTCAGGGACTATGTTAAATCTTTGTGTATCTGCCTTGCTTGATCTTCAAACCACCCTATGAGGTTAGTCCTATACTTACACCCATTTTACAGATTTAAAATCTAAGACGGAGAAAGTTTAAACCCAAGGTTATTTAGTTAATAAATCATGGGGCTGGGATTCAAATTCAGGTCCCTATGACTCCAAAATTCAAAAGGAAATTGGGCCTATCAGAATGAAAGACATCAAGTGAGGAGAGCACTGGAAGGTGGTTATCACCAGAGCCACAAGAATGAGGGAGAGGAAGAGATATTAGAAACCACCAGATCTGATTAGAAGGCCAGCTTACCAGGAGGTGGGTGGATTCAAACAGGGAGGGCTCAGACTATGAGAGACAGATAGAGGACAGATGCACAGTTGTAACTAGGCCTGACCCATCCTCATCCTTAAGACCTTGACGTCACAGCATACAGGGTTTTAGAGACCCAATAAATGACTTTCCCTCCTGAGTTTAGAACCTATTAAAAAATGAGATGAGATCACAATGTCATTTTTATTACTCATAATACTAATTACACAGAAGATGTTGAATTATGGGACCACATCAAGCTTCCCAACAGTCTACCCCAAGATTAAATTTGCATCCCCAAACTATGGGCCTCTGCCTGGTGTAAAGAGTTTGTTCCCTGACTCCTACTCCACAGAAGAACCAAGAATTCAGGTTTTCTCTAGGCACACAGTTAAGCAAGCAAGTTCAGTTCTTCTACCCAACTCATCAGTAGGTCAAGTGGAATAAGATAAGGTTTGGGACAGAGGTGGGTGGGGGTTTCATTTTAGCAGAATTTCTCTTACAAATGCATAAGACAAAGGAGAAGGCAGCTCTCCTCTAATACAACACATCAAAACCCAGCTGCAATGGCCCAGACCCAGCAGGAATCAGGAGCAACAAAACGTGGTCAGATGAAGCAGAGTCATCAGAGTGGGGTTATCAGGAAAGAAAGATTTGTAAGAATGTACTGGAACACAGTGTCAAAACAGGACGCCCGGTCTCAGTAGAGGACTGTGTCAGCCCAACCAACGGGACAATCAGAAGGTCTCAAGAAGTAATAAGGGAGTCTTATTGAAACTGAGGTTTGAGTCAGTGGCATGCAAAAATATGTTCAATAACAGGTCTTCTGGAAGAGGAACAACTATGTGTATATTTATATGTACATAAATGCGATACAAATTTTTACTAATATAAAGAATGTGAAGCCCACATTTTATGAATAATAAAATAACCAGTACTTTTTATTTCCTATTTTGCAGTTAATTGGTTCTCTCAGAATGCTTTCACTGATTTTTGTATCAATTTTGTACGGATATAAGATTGCATTCATAGCCAAAATCTATGTCTGCAAATGAAGAATACATGTGGTTGTTAAATGAAGGTTGGTTGGTCATTTGATTACACAAGAGAGTAACTGTTTCACAAATGGGAAACAATGAAGATCTATATTGTAACTTTACTCATTCATCAATAATATGAGTTACTTTTTTATTGAAATATAATAGTTTTTGAATACTGGGATCATATTTCCCCATTTTTTTGTGCTATTTATAATGTCAGAGCTGCCAATACTATATACTTTCAAGTTTAATCTTTGTTAGTAACATTCTCACCACTAATTTCTTAGGTGTAGACATCAGCAAAGCAATAAATCAAAGTCTGATCAATAGCATTTGCTGATTTCTGTGGTGTAAATCCTCCCATCATGGCTGATTCACAGCTACCAAACTGAGGTCACTGAATGCATGGTTGGGAAGAGATGGGCAGGAACAAATCATTATACACTCTTTCCACTGCATGGGCGTAACAGACCCAGGTAACATCAAGAGCCTAGGTATGTATAGGAAAATAACTAAGAAATACAAAGAAAATAATTAGAAAATAATGTTTTAAATGTCTATTATCTTTGTTTTTAGCAAACTCTATTTGTTGTAAGTATTTGATTTAATTTTTCTTTTTTGTTTAAAGATTTTATTTATTTATTTGACAGACAGAGATCACAAGTAGGCAGAGAGGCAGGCAGAGAGAGCGGGGAAGCAGGCTTCCCACTGAGCAGGGACCCCGTTGCGGGGCTCGATCCCAGGATCCTGAGATCACGACCTGAGCCGAAGGCAGAGGCTTTAACCCACTGACCTACCCAGGTGCACCTTGATTTAATTTTTCGTAATGGCTGCACTTAACAACCAGCTTGCACAATTCCTGGTAATTTCTCAGCTCTCGTGAGCCACTGTGAGTCCATGTCCAGCAGCCAGCTGCTTCCAGTTGTCCCATATTTAAGCCCAGGCAGAAGTCATCACAGACGACTGGTATGTACTGAAGCTCTACATCAGTGAGGGTGGCTGGATCCAAATGAGCACAACGTAAATACTTGCTTAACGCAGAGGAGCCATTCACATGCATATTCTGGGCACAGGGCACAAAGTGCAGCTGCTGACCACAGCCTTTTCAGTCACGCCTCACCACACGAAGACCAGACCTATATCACCAACCCCTAAGTGGGTAGGGAGATAGGTTGGACCCAGAGACCCATGGCTCAAGGACCTCTGCAGAGTCCACATTTTCGTGTCTACAGAAAGTGTAGCCAGAAGGACTCCCATCTCGGTACCTGGCCCTTAGGATGGGAATTTCTCAACACTTTGGTCTTAGAAAATTAAGTCAACTTCGGCTGCTCTTTTCTCTAGAGCTGGGATGAGGATGACCGCTATGGAGCTCCAAGTGAAAGAGACAGACAAAATCTAAGGGTAATTAATTTGTACACTAGCTATAAACTATCACAGACCATTGAATGCTAGAGTTACAAGAGACCCTACAGATTAATGACCACCCCACAATCTGGGGATGAGAAAACTGAAACCAGACAGGCACACCGTAAGCAGCAGCATGAGGACTGAACCACGTCTTCCTAATTTGAGTTCAGTGCTCTTTCAAATATATTCTGATTAACCTTGTTTTAATTTTTAGATAATGGCCAGTGAAATTAGTAGTTTAAGGACACAAATCTCATTGCACAGATATTCTGAAACAAACAAACAAACAAACAAAACCCACACTCTTTACCATGAGGCTGAGTTTGGTTGAAATTTCAAAAGAATTCTCTTTCGAATGTAAATCTGTTGCTGGTAAAATAAACATAGCAACCATTGGGAATCCCACATCCTTCTCTAAAGACCTCCAGATATCCTTTCTGAAAGGATGATCTGTGGTGAGAAGTACATGGGTGATCAGCTGATAAGCCAGAATAGAGATTTACGTGTAAGAGTCACTAGTAGAGAGATGATAGCTGAAATTAATCCAAGGCTTGAATCGAAAGTATGCTTATAATGGAATTATAAAACAACAAAGTATGGAGCAATCAGAAAGCGTGTAATGAGGCTCTGCCCATGGTTTAAGGGGCCCCTCAGAAAACTGACCTCTGCTCTACACTAGTTTCCCAGTCACGCTCACTCTTCATGGAAGCCGCACTCGTTATATTTAAAGACAAAATGCTCCCCTACCCAACACATATAATTTGTCCCCAGATATTCCCTACCTTCCGCTTCCTGCCAACACCTTGACCACAGAAGAGAGGCAGCTAGAAGTTATTCTCCTCTTGCAACACATTACCTATTTCCCAACTAGGGTTCCCAGATTCAACAAATAATAATAATAATAATAATAATAATAATAATATAGACTGCCAGATTAAATCTGAGCTTCAGATAGACAACACAGAATTTTTAGCATAACTGTGTCACGGATATTGCATGGCACATATTTATGTGAAAAATTACTTACTGTATACCTAAGCTTTAGTTTAACTGAGCATCCTATATTTTATTCGGCAACATTGTTCTCAGCCCCCATTCAGAAACAGCTCAATCTAAGTTATGGATACAGGAACACCGTCCATTCATATTTCTGGAGCCTCCTTCTCACATCTGAGGCCTCAGTTGGCACCTGGCGTACTCCCATATGTCACAGGGAGAGAATTTATTACCTTTCATTAGGCTGAAAAAGAAATTAAGTGGTTCTTAACCTGCAGTCTTTAGATGCCCAAAGTCCAGTGCTCCCACTGCTGTCATGGGGTTTTGCTGACACTGACCACTGCATTTTCTGCTTACAGAAGATGGTTCTCCCAGCACGAAAGGCTTCCTGAAGAGCCTGACAGCCTCACAGCTCTCTTCACTAGCAAGCCAGTTCTGGCTTCTTCTAGAACTAAGACAGTTGCACACACTGTCTTCAGGCCTCAGTGATTATTCTACTAGGCAACAACATTGAAAGAGATCCTTACGGGACATTGAACTCCAAATCATCACTCTACCCTGACTACCAGGAACCTTGACCATCAAATGAAAAAGGACTGCTGTGGACTCAGGGAGAGAAGTTTCTGCTGTTTCTTTGAGAAGATGACCAATGAATTTCACTTTCTGTGAGTCTCTTTGTCTCTATTCTCTCTTCAAGGAAGAACAATCGGACAAAAATTTCTTTCTACAGTGGTGGTACCTGGAGAGGACTGTAGACACTTGTCCTCATCATCTGGCCCCGGAAGCATAAATTAAAAAACAGATTCAAGATAAATCTCCCTGCCATATTCCCAAAACAAATGCCACCTCTGTAAACCGCTTCGGCGAGAAACTCTTTTTATATTGATATATCTGTGTGCAGAAATGTACTTAATGATCAAAGAGACTGCTTGTACTCTGGGCTTCATTTGCAGCATTGTTCAACAGCAGAAATCATCCTTACCTCCCCCAAACTCTCACATACCTTTCCCTCCCCTGGAAAAATGTCTTTCTTGCCCTACAAGAAAACCCAATCTTGGCTCCCTGGGGTGTCACTTCCTTCTGAATTATGCCAGGAGAAAAAAAAATCAAATGTCCTTTTGTACCCTGGAAAGCAATTGCAGACCCTATAATTCTTTTTTTTTCCCTTTATGTAATTTATACATTGGCTTTCAGTGAAATACACCCTCTACAAATTTGCTTTGTATTTGGAAGACAGCATCTTCAGCTCTGACCTTGTTCCTTGTAAATAAGGAAACTGAATTCCCCATCCACAAGAGAACAAATCACTTTATCTTCTGGATAAATGAGGCAGTCATTTATTTGTCGTAAAGATGACTTTCTCTTTGGAAAGTTGGGCTGTGAAGTAGTTGTGTTAAATCACTCTGAAGCATCTGCATAGTAAATTGAATAGTTTTTCTTTAGTTTTCCTTTGGAAGGGGGCCAGTTCCCTCACACTGTCTTTTGGATAGCAACAAAAATGTTTATAATACCAGCCATCAACCAGTAGCCAATCCCGTCCTAAATCTCTTTGGCATATGGCCAAACTACAGGAGCTCAGAGGACAGAAATACAATGGAATAAGAACACGCTAACTCTGGATAATGTCCTTGGAGCACATAAAGAGACACTGAATTCACGGGCTCGAGGAGCCACCGAAGTAAGGTGAGGAGGACAGACTCCAATCGACGAGGCGTACATTTTGAGAGGAGGAAGATGAAGGAAAACAATTTTGTTGAGCGCCACTACTGGGCTGAATGATGGACGTATCTTACCTACTTATTCCTGAAACACTTTGGAAAAGCTGATATTTTTACTTTTATTTTTTTAATTTTTTAAAATTATTTATTTATTTATTTGACAGACAGAGAAGTAGTCAGAGAGGCAGGCAGAGAGAGGGGGAAACAGGCTCCCCGCTGAGCAGAGAGCCCGATGTGGGACTCGATCCCAGGATTCTGAGATCATGACCTGAGCTGAAGGCAGAGGCTCAACCCACTGAGCCACCCAGGCACCCTATTTTTCTTTTAAATGAGGAAATGAAGATCTGAGGTATCAGACACTTGTTCAGAAATCGTAACACACATAAATGGCCAAGCCAGGATTCAGCGCTAAGCCTCTGCTCCTCCTCCTCCTCCCTGTCACCTCTGAGAGGACCTGGGGACCTTCTTCACATTTGCGAGACTTCTCACTGGAGAGCAGAAACTCCCTGCGAAGGTCCGTTCTCCTTAATCTGACTTTCAAAGGGGACAATTTGGAAGAGGGAAGGATGGTCTAGCTACTTTCGCAGAGAACCGTTTCATCCACGGTCCACCAGCAGTGAGTTTCAGGCTAAAACACGACATTTCATCTGTGGGCAGTCTCACACATTGTCTCTCCTGGTCGGAGAGGCCCCTGTGGCTAACCCAGGCCTAGAGCACTGATTCCATTAATCACCAAGCATGTAATAATAACAAATAGTGACGGCCGCCACGTCTCTAATGGTTGCCACGCACCAGGCACAGGGTCAACACTTCTCAAATATTATCTTGTTTCATCCTCAAAGCAAACTTGTGAGAAGGTTATTATTATTCACAGATAAAGTGAGGTATGCCTCCATGTCCTTCCTCCCTCTCCATCCTTTTCTCTGGAAAGAAGGTAGCCTTAGAAAATACACGTGAAATTATGTTTTGTGGAGTGAGCCATAGTAGAAACAGAGTAATTGTCTTCTAGAAGTTGTGTGATGAAGATGGTCCAACTCATGAGATGCAGGTGGTGCAAAAAGATGGATATAGACCAAGGGACAGGTACTTGCAGATGTGAGATGGGGTGGAGGCAGGCACTCTGCAAGGACGGACAGCAACTCAGGAGGAAGAGCAAAGAAAGGTTTGCACCATCCTCCGAGCTCTGAGTCTATCTGTGTGCTACTAGTAGGATTAGTCTCCTTCTAATGTAGGACCTCGTCTGCCTATTATTGCAATCTCATAAACGCAGAGTGTACCCATCTCACAGGGGAGGAAACTGAGGCTCTGGAGGCTTAAGTAATGTGTTCAAAGTCAAATTCTTGGACAAGTGGCAAGACCCAAGTTTGTTTGACCCCAAAGTCCAGGCTTCTTTTCTCCTGGAATGAATAGTAGTTTGGCTAAGTCCAGAATGAACGAGTTATAAATGACAAGGCAGAGATAAAAATCTAAAGCAAGAATAATTCCATACGTAATTCAAAACACATCCTGCTCAAAAGATAGCAAGTATTTTCCTGTCCGACACCACTGGCCTCTGCAGGAGACTTAAAGTGGCTTTCTTCACTGGGGCTCACATGAGGCATGAAAAATTATCTCCCACTCTTGTTCTCATTCTTCGCTCTCAGCCCCAAACTTTTTTCTTTCTTTTTTAAGATTTTATTTATTTATTTATTTGACAGAGAGAGAGTAAAAAAGCATGCAAGAGAGGGGGAGTGGGAGAGGGAGAAGAAGAATCAGGCTTCCCGCTGAGCAGGGAGCCAGATGAGAGGGACTCAATCCCAGGACCCTGGGACCACAACCTGAGCCACCCAGGCACCCCTCCGTCCCAGATTTCAAACCAACCTGGACCAGAACCAAGTCACCAGGGTCGTGTGTGTCAGTGTGAGGCCAGCTGGAGAGGCAAAGGAAGTTAGCCAGAGACTCAAGCTTCAAAGAAGCTGGAGTTACCACCAGAGTTGAGGGAGCCAGCCATCCTCAGAGTCTCTGGGGACCCTGCTGACTACAGGGTTCAGTACTGGGCACCCTTGTTCGTAGCCTCACCTTGTGGAACTGTGGCGGGTATATCCGAGCAGCCCCGTGGTTCAATAGGAGCTGGTAGCAGATCTCGGGCTGGGCAGCGGGGCGCACAGAGGTGACCTTCAGCACGTACTGGATGGCAGCACAGCCATTGATATCCATGAGATTGGCTTCCGCGCCCGCCTCCAGCATCATGTGCATGAGCACGTGGTCACAGTTCCAGGCCGCTTTGTGCAGCGGCGATTTGAAGTCGTCGTCCCTGGCGTTGACCTCGGCCTTGTAGTCCAGCAGCATGCGGCAGATGAGGTGGTGCTCCCTGCTGTACTCCTGCTCTTTAAAGCGAAGGGCCCAGTAGGTGGCGATAGCCAGCGGCGTCTCCATGTGGGCGTTCACGCTGTCCACTATGGCCCCGTGCTCCACGTAGAAGGCCACCAGCTCCGAGAGGCCGAAGTGGGCGGCCGTGTGCAAGGGCGTCTCCTCATCCTGGTTGTTGGTCTTCATGTTCACATTGGCCCCTAGAAAGGGAGATGGAGGAAGCCAATTACGCAAACATATTTTGACATTATTCCTGGTTTCTAGACTTTTCCTCGCTGCTTCCCTTTTCACCTCTGACTGCTTTCCATAACCCATTCTTTCCAGGGTCCTTTTTTGGGGCCCCAGCGGAAGCCAGGCGTTTGAGACAACAGTGCCGCCGCCTGGACAAGCAGCAAATGTACCGGGGTTGGACAGGGGGAGAAGGACAGATTCCACCGCAGAGCTGGAGCACTCCGTTGAGTTTGAGTTCTTACCCCCAGATGGATTGGGGAAAACAAAGTGATTCCTGTAAGTAAATCGCTTTTATCGATAAAATAGCAAATATCCTTGAAAATAAAGGTTATATTGCAAACTTTGGAGCTCAGACAGGTGGCTTTAAATATCATCAACTTCTTTGAATATTTCACAAAATCATGTCTTTCTTCTCTTTCAAAGCTGGAAACCCCGAAAGTTTGGTCCAAGCAAACTTTAGGATTATGGAAATTGCCCTCTTCTGACTGCAAGCAGCTGGTAGGAGGGCCACCTAAGTCTAAGGCTCCTTCGGAATACAGCTGGGGAAACACAAAACACAAAATCCCTGTGACCACCAAGCTAGCCTAAAGGTCATATTTTGCTTGGAAAGGGGCCGAAGCCAGTATAATAGAAATACTCACTGAAAGGAAGAGAATGACTTAGAGATGTATTTGATTTTTGGCTGATAATGGTTGTTAGAAATACAAATTTGTACTGTTTGGAAGACTCTGCAGAAATGACTTAACCAGACCCACTTATCTAACTCACCAGAAAACCGAAGTGAATTTTATTTTTCTGATAGAGTGCGTTAAGTACTAGCATAGTCAACTTAAGAAGCTGAAATTTTCCTTCTCTGCCTAACATAATGGGGTGAATGCATCGACCCCTAGGGGGCTTACTCTATAATCAATTCTACTGGAAATTTTTATAGCTCCTTCAAGTTTAAATCTGGAAAGATTTTCTTATTATGATGATGATTATTTCAGCAACTAATATTTATTAAGCACTTACCATTTGCTACATTCTGAGCTAAATGCTTCTCATATGTTGCCTCATTGAATCTACCTAGCAACCCTCTGCCCTAGGTGCAATTTTTAGCCTAATTTTACAGATGAAGAAATTCGTACTTGGAGAGGCTCATAACGACATCAAGCTAAGAAACAATGGAATGGAGGTCTGAAAGCAGACAGCTTGGCTTCAAAACCTCTTACTGCTGTACTGTCCTACCTCGTGATTTTTCTAGAAGAAATCTTTCCTGTAATGTGCTCTCTTTTGGTACTTGAAAACTTGAAAGAACTAGAGAAATCACCTTGCACTTTGTGAATGTTTAAAAAAACCTGTTTTTCATGTATTGCTTCTTTATGCCTTTTTAATGGCATCCTGTGATCATGTGGAACTTACTTAAGAAGGACAATACGCCCGCACATGTGCTCAGTACCTTATACAAAATCAACCCCCCAGTGAGGTTTCTGAGAGCACTTTAGCTCCGTAAACTCAGAGACTGTCCGTTCTCCCAACCTGCAGAGAGCAGACTTATAACCAAAAATGGTCTCTCACGGAACCATCCGTGTGCATCAGTATTCAACCCTGGAGATGTTCTGGGTCAGGTGTCTTTCTGGGTCAGCCCTTCTTTGCTCTGGAGGGAAATAGAATGAATAAGAATGGCTCCCCAGAAGCCAAATGCGGGGTCACTTCAGACACTGGAGAATTTCCAGTAATGAAAGGAATCAAAGGGTCAGGATGAAAATTTTACAGGCCAACTTGGAACAAACTGTGTCCTTTATTTTTTAATGTACTTGGACATTTACAATTGATCCTTGACCTTTTGGTACAACTACACGTGCTGCATAGATTTCTGTTCTGAATAGGAGATCTTTAGTTTTTATATTTGAATTGTATCTTTGAGTACAAATTTTCCAGAGAATATATAAAGAGAAAATATAAAGTAGGATGGTTTGAGTACTTTTTTATTTTAGATTTTGTGACTTATTCAAGAAATTAGAGACCCCAAATATGAATTCCTGGAAACTTTTAATAAATATTATTTTTTAAAAATATATTTTATTTATTAGAGAGAAAGTGATTGAGGGAGAGCACAAACGTGGGGAGGGGCAGAGGGAGAGGGAGAAGCAGACACCCCACTGAACAAGGAGCCCCACCCAGGGTTTAGTCCTAGGACCGTAAGATCATGACCTGAGCTGAAGGCAGACACTTAACAGACTGAGCCACCAGGTGCCCCTTAATAAATGTTCTTTTTTTTTTTTTTAAGATTTTATTTATTTATTTGACAGAGAGATCACAAGTAGGCAGAGGCAGGCAGAAAGAGAGAGAGAGGGAAGCAGGCTCCCTGCTGAGCAGAGAGCTCGATGCGGGGCTCGATCCCAGGACCCTGAGACCATGACCCGAGCTGAAGGCAGAGGCTTAACCCACTGAGCCACCCAGGTGCCCCAATAAATATTCTTAATGTGAAAATACAATGTGATAGTTTACTAGACCTGCCCTAACAAACTACCACAAACTAGGTTGCTTAAAACCACAGAAATGTATTCACAGTTCTGGAGACTGGAAGTCTGAAATTAGGGTGTCAGCAGGGTTGGCTTCCTCTAAGGGCTTCAAGGGAGAACCTGTTTCATGCTGCTCTCCCAGCTTCTGGTGATGGCTGACCATCCTCGGTATTCCTTGGCTTGTAGATGTACCACTCCAGTGTCTGCCTCCATCTTTAATCATATCCCAGGTCAAGAAGACAAACACCTCCCAGAGCCAAGGAAGCCATCCTCTTTCCTCCTCTCCCTCTCGAGCACAACTCCTCCAACCTACCCTAGGTATCTTCTCCTGACTATTATGCATTTCTTATCATTTTACCTTTGTAGGTATCTCTAAACAAGAGAGCTTCCTTTCATTTATCTTTGAGCTTTATATAAGTGAAATAATAAATACGTATTTTTCTATGACTTGCTTCTTTCATTCAACATTATGTTTGTGAAAATCTATGTTGTGATGTGTAAGCTGTCATTTGTTCATTTTATTGCGTTCTGTCTCATTGCACAAGTGATCCACAATCTGTCCCTCCTACTGCTCATGGACATTTCTAACTTCAGGCTATTCCCAACACTGCTGCACTGAGCGTTCTAGTACATTCCTGTGCCCTGGTGCTCACCGAACGACTGGATCACTGGGTATGCATACCTTCCCCTTCATTAGATGGTGTCAAACTGGTCCAGTTTACACATCCATAAGCCACGTGTGAGCACTCTTATTGGGTCACATTCTCATCCGTGGTTGGTATTTTTGCTCTATTTAATTTTAGCCAATCTGGTGGGTGTGTAGTGATAGGTCATTGTGTTTAATGTTTGTTTTCCTAACAATTAGCTTAGACAAATTTTTAACATTTTTATTGACCAACATTGCCTTCTGTTTACTACTATAAACATTCCCATGTTGTTACAGAATTACTTTAAATGTTATTTCAAAGGAACTACATATTCCACAAGTCAGTTTACCCAACTGTTGGATATGAGGATTTTTTCCCCAATGTTTTGATCTTATAATTAATGCTACAATTAATAAATTTGTGTGAAAATTTTAAGATTATTTCCTTGGCATAAATTCCCCCCACATAGAGTCATTAAGCTGAAATGTGTGAACTATTTTAAGGAATTTTATGAATAATTGTCGCAGGTTATATAACTCACTGATGTGGAGCAGTGATATTTCATTCACCAGCATGTCTTTATACATTTAAAAAATATTTTTTTGCTAATTTGGAAGTAAGAAATTGTCTTCTTTTTTAAAGAATCTAAATTCATTTGATTACTAGAGTTTGAACACTTTCTCTGTAATTTTAGCTTGTGATATTTCTTCTTCAGTTAATTGTCTAATGTTTTGTCCTTTTATACATTGTAAGCTTTCTGCTTTGTTTTCCTTTACATGAACCATTCATTAAAATAAGATGTAAGTTTATGTTATCATAATTGCTACCAAATTTTTAACCACTTTGATTTTTCTTAAGTACAATGACCTTAACTTTCATAGTCAAATTTTCCCATTTTTTAAATTAACATATAATGTATTATTAGCCCCAGGGGTACAGGTCTGTGAATCACCAGGTTTACACACTTCACAGCACTCACCAGAGCACATACTCTCCCCAATGTCCATAACCCAAACACCCTCTCCAAATTTTCCCATTTTTAAAAAACTATTAGAGTGTTCTCCTTTCAGAGTTTGCATAGCTATCCAGATTAATTACAATTTAGTTTTTTATACATTTTTAAAAAAATGTTTAACATTTGATTCATCTGGAAATTATTTGGGTGTAGATATCAATTTAGGAAGAACTGACATTCTTACCATAGAGAGTCTCTCCACACAGTAATATGGTCTATTTCTCCAACAGTTTTCTTTACACTCTACTCTGTAAACTGTCCTTCCCAAAAATTTGCAGCAATTTTCATTCTAGGGGATAAACTAATTCATTCGGGGCTAAATTATTTCTTGGATAAAGTCACTTTTAATGAGAGAGGGCCCTTCACAAACTCTTTAATGTACGCACGATGGTCCCCAGAAGTAGTCTGGAATGCTGGTAAAGGAGAGAGACACACAAATGTCAATTTGTACTGATGATAAAGAACAAGGACTTTTCAGATTCCGTCTGTGGGCAAAGAAGACAGAGATTTGGGTACACTAAGAATGGGATGAAGAGGGGACACAGGAGAGGAATTTGAGCAGAAAGAGTGGGAGCTGGCCACAAGCAATGGCTAGACCAGGCCCAAGGGAAAAGATAATGCTGAGGTCAGGATTACTGAGGGACACAGTACCAGTCTATAGTAAATGTTTTCTGTTCTCCCATGCTGTGGGATAGTATCCTTTCATTACTCCCAAAAGAGGGAATCAGTTTCATCAGTCTTAGTTATGAGACTTCAAGTTTTTTTTCTTTTGCCTCACGTGCCCATTTGTTAGATTGGCTGAT